CCCTAGCCAGGCAGCGAGGGTAAAATCCTCTTGCATGCCTGATCCGCCCCTGGCATGCATCTACTGATATGTCTAGGCAGGCTTCTTCCATGGCCTGGAGGCACAGAGCATGGATATAAGGTTCTCAGTCATACACTTTCCACCGCCATACCGAAAAAAACTCCTCTATCGGGTTTAGAAAGGGAGAGTATGCAGGCAGAAAGTTGTTAGAAAACCTCGGGTTATTGGTAAACCAGTCACGAACCAGAGCAGCGCGATGGAAGCTGACATTATCCCAAACAACAATGTAACGAGGCTGCTCTGGCTGTGCTGGTTCCCTGAGGTCCAGCTGGAACATATGCTCTCTTAGACCGTCAAGGAAAGCAAGAAGGAGCATAGTGTTATAGGGTCCTAGAATGGCATGACGGTGGAGTACCCCTCGTTGGCTGATGGCTGCACACATAATGACATTCCCTCCGCGCTGACCAGGGACATTTACAATAGCCCGATGGCCAAATATGTTCCTCCCCCTTCTCCTTCTTTTGGTCAGGTTGAAACCAGCCTCATCCACAAAGATAATTTCATGGGGAACTGGCCGGCCTTCAATCTCAAAGATTCTCTGCAAAACACATGAAGCACAGTAGAGTAAATCACTGCCCTGAAGCACAGTTCAAGAGGGCACAAATGGCAGCATAAACTGCTATACTGTGATGGTACACAATACTTCATACGATATCAAAACTCGTACCTGAACATATTCCACTCGTTGGTCTTTCACTCTGTCAGAGTTTCGTTCGAAAGGGACGCGGTACGCCGGTTTCATCTGGAACCGGTGCTTTCGGAGGATACTGTTTACCCCTCGCCTGGACCATCGCCTGTGTTTCGGATTTACCCTTTGGATTACCGTTTGGACATTGTTCGCTGGAGATCGACCACGCCCGTTCACTGGACTACTCTTGTGTCTTGCCCTCAATATACCAGTTTGCCATTGTCTGACCCTCGCCTGTTTTGACCACGTCTTTAATAAAAGCTTTGCAAATGGATACGAACGGCTCTCGCCCCGTAACATTTACAGTGCTTCATATAATTCAAAAAAGAGAGGAGTTGCTATACTAATCAACAAACATATATCAATTTCAAACAACACAGAAATATCAGATCCAGAGGGACCTTATATTATCATAAATGCATCTATAAACAATACAGAAATGACTGTTGCTAACATTTATGGGCCAAACACCGACAACGATTAAATATTCCACAAAGTTTTCTCAATAGTATCCACATTCCCACAGTCTAAAATCATTATTGGAGGGGAATTGAATACAGTCCTTAATCCCTCATTAGATTGTGTCTGCCTCCCGAACAATGTTAGGTAGATTATTCCAGAGTTTGGGCGCTAAATGGGAAAATGATCTGCCACCCGCAGTTGATTTTGATATTCTAGGTATTCTAAGTACGATCTGAACCATGCTAGTGCACTTCCACTAATGCCAACAAAGTTTTCTAGTCCATTCAAAAGAATGTTGTGGTCAATAGTGTTGAACGCAGCACTAAGATCCAGTAGCACTAATAGAGAGATACAACCACGATCAGATGATAAGAGCAGGTCATTTGTAACTCTAATGAGAGCAGTCTCAGTACTATGATACGGTCTAAATCCTGACTGGAAATCCTCACAGATACCATTTTTCTCTAAGAAGGAATATAATTGTGAGGATAGTACCTTTTCTATTATCTTGGACAGAAAAGGGAGATTCGAGATCGTTCTGTAATTAACTAAATCTCTAGGATTAAGTTATGTTTTTTTTGAAGAGAGGCTTAATAACAGCCAGTTTTAAGGTTTTGCGGACATATCCTAATGACAATAACAAATTAATAATAGTCAGAAGAGGATCTATGACTTCTGGAAGCACCTCTTTTAGGAGCTTAGATGGAATAGGGTCTAACATACATGTTGTTGGTTTAGATGATTTAACAATTTTATACAACTCTTCCTCTCCTATAGTAGAAACTCCTCAGGGGATCTATAGTGCAGTATCTGTATCTGATGCGATACTGTAGCTGACGGCTGCATGCTTACAATTTTATCTCTTATAGTATCAATCTTGGAAGTAAAGTAGTTCATAAAGTCATTACTGCTGTGCTGTTGGGAAATGTCAACACTTGTTGATGCTTTATTTTTCGTAATTTTAGCCACTGTATTGAATAAATACCTCGGGTTATGTTTGTTTTCTTCTAAAAGAGACAAAAAGTTATAAGATATAGCATATTTAATGCTTTTCTGTAGGATAGGTTACTTTCCCGCCAAGCAATATGAAATACCTCTAGTTATGTTTTCCTCCAGCTGCACTCCATTTTCCGGGCTGCTCTCTTCAGGGTGCGAGTGTGCTCATTATTGATGTCCTGCTGAACCTCTGTTGATCCTCCATGAAATGTACTTCCGACACCGAGGTAGATTCCACCTTTTGAAGTTCATCTGTGATCATTTTTTTCATTCTTTGGTCAGTTTGTCTAATTCGGACTCCTCTAGTTGTTTAGCAGTGGTCAACACAGGAAAATGCTGACTCTTATTATCCGCCACTTTTGTAGCACATTAAGCAATTTGACTCTTGTGGTGGGAAGAACTGAACTGAATGAACATCCTGGGTGAGATCATTCAGTTTTTTTTCTTCTTGAAGTCAAATAAAATATCCCAGTTCCCTTGTACCTGAGCAGTAAACTGTTGGATTTCTCCTTCCAGGAGTTGGTGAAATGCTGGGCAGGCCATGATGTACAAGTGAGGAAAGACTTTCATGTTCAGATGAAGTGCAAAGTTGCATGTTAGCCGCTCGTGGTGCCCACAGGTTTCCACAGGAATGCTGCCAGCCAGAGCAGGAGAGGATATTAGCATATGGGGCCCAGAATGCACAAGGCTGAATGGAGTGGGGATATTATAGAATGTGGGAACACAAGGTGGAGGTTCTGGAGGCATCAGAGGTTGCTGGTGGCCATACTGGAGTTGAGATGTCTGGAGGAGCCTCAGGTTCCACAAAAGTTAATTGAGGAAGAGGGGTAGCCACTATGTTTGCTGTGTTTGTATGTTTGCAAGAATGTTGGGTGTGAAGAAAAAAAAATCAGTAATTGAGATGAATATATGATTCTGTGCATGTCACTATTTTGGCCACAAAAGATTTTAACAAAACGGCAAAATACAACTTTTCACAGATGGTAAATCAATGCTTTACCCTTTCCAGTGCAGAAAAGGCACCTGTTTTTCACGCCGGGCTATGGCAATTGATGATAAAGTAAGCCTTAACCATTAAGTGGAAAAACATAAATGTAAAATAATAGCCAATATTTGAATTTGATTAATTCCAGTTCTGATTCCGATTCTGCTCATCGATTCCGATTCTTATCGATTCCCAGTTTTGATTCCAATGTGGTTAAAGTTAAACATTTAGTTATGAAACATATTTATTCTGGTGAACAAAAAAAACTGGACTCGATTTAGAACTGTTTGTGTGCAAAATAGAGCTGCATGATTCTGGATAAATTTAGACTTTTTTTTTGTTTTTTTATAAATGGAGTTTGTAGTTCTCTCACAATTCTGGAGAAAAAACTTTAGAGAAGTAAACAAAATCTCATGGAATTTATGCATGGAATGATTCAATGACTCTCTCAAGATTTACTCGTTTCATTACTGGATGAATCAGTGTTTTTGAATGAATCTCATGAATGAATGATTCAATGACTCTCTCAAGATTTACTCGTTTCATTACTGGATGAATCAGTGTTTTTGAATGAATCTCATGAATGAATGATTCAATGACTCTCTCAAGATTTACTCGTTTCATTACTGGATGAATCAGTGTTTTTGAATGAATCTCATGAATGAATGATTCAATGACTCTCTCAAGATTTACTCGTTTCATTACTGGATGAATCAGTGTTTTTGAATGAATCTCATGAATGAATGATTCAATGACTCTCTCAAGATTTACTCGTTTCATTACTGGATGAATCAGTGTTTTTGAATGAATCTCATGAATGAATGATTCAATGACTCTCTCAAGATTTACTCGTTTCATTACTGGATGAATCAGTGTTTTTGAATGAATCTCATGAATGAATGATTCAATGACTCTCTCAAGATTTACTCGTTTCATTACTGGATGAATCAGTGTTTTTGAATGAATCTCATGAATGAATGATTCAATGACTCTCTCAAGATTTACTCGTTTCATTACTGGATGAATCAGTGTTTTTGAATGAATCTCTTGAATGAATGATTCAAAGACAAATAATTTTTTTAACAGCCCCTTTGCATCAGCTAAAAATAAAAGATGCGCACACAGGAATCGATAGGCAGAATTTAAATTTTACAACAAGTGTCCAATTCTGGAATTGGAATAGATTTTCGATTCCCAACCCTAACTGGAGTGTTCCCCAAATATGTTTTGCCAGTATCCTATTATTACAGCTTTGCTCCTGCTTTCATTTGAGAGTGCTTGGCATCCTCTAGCACTCCGCAGGACCAGGCCTGGATACAAACAGCTGATGAAATGCAGAGAATTAAACATGTAAGGAGTATCTCATGCATGTTTTTAGGCAAGAAAAATGTTCAAGATATTTTGAGAGTAGCTTTGTGATCATAAAAATATTGATGCCTTTCTAATCGGTATAGACTACTAACGCCAAAAGTTTTTCTTAAAGCAGTGGTTACCAGTAGTTACACTGCTAGTGCTATGGGTGCTCTTAGAGTCTGTATAGAGACGCTGAAAATGCTAAAATGTAACATTTATATACATTAAAAACACAAACTTCTCTATATATTTTAATGGTTTTTAATGAAATGAATGAATTTTGAGCTTGAGTTACACCTTTCAAGTACACTGGACCTTGCTTGTTTCCACCGTTAATTACTTCACTCTGCCCATAACAATCAGCGTGAACACTTGATATTTGGCAATATTTTGACTTGACTGCACAGACACTATTGTATAAAACACAATATATGGTACACATGAAGAACACTTTTCTTTCTAATGATTACAAATGATCCTTTATTTGGTAATTTCATCAAACATCTGTGCACACTTCATGAAATGACATAGTAAAACATGAGCATATATATATATATGAGTATATGTATAGTATGTGAGTGTCCCCATAATGCATAACAATAATTCAGTAAGTAAAGATTTTAACATGTTGCAGAAACAAACAGACAGACAGACGGATGTACAAACACTGCATTCACTGTGTCAATAAACTGATCATGCAAAGAGATTTGGGCACACAAACATGGAGGTCAACATGTCTGACACAAGTCCATCGCCTCTGACCTGTGTAATTCACTGGTGCTACAGACACGTCTGATGACTATCATCTCTCAGCGCCACAGCTGTTGGAGTTTATATAAAGTAACGTGAGATCACCGACTAATCTGTGTTTGGCAGACCTACAGGTACATAAAAAAATATTAATTAAACAATATACAAAATTGTATTCATCCATGTCTTTCTTTTCTGTGTTTAGCCACAGTAAAACTCTGTTTCCCGCTCTACGATCACAGAGACGACTTCATTTCTTGATGACTTCTTCTTTGAGCTTCTCTGCCAGATGTTTTCTTTTCTGCAATTTCTTCTTCTCTTCAACAGATATTTCCTTGAAAAGAAATGATTATTAAAATGATTATTTCCAGCTGCCATTAATTGCAAAATCATGTTAGGTGAGATTAATTGCTAACATTAAAATTTAAACGTAAACATGAATAAGGAATCAACAATTAGAAAAAAACCCTGCAATTTATCAGACAAATTACAACACATTCAACTGTCCCAAAAAGACTCATGGAACACTAAACTAAATTTCCTGAGATGTTTTCAGTTCATGTTAATTGTAGGAGAAAACTGGTTCATTTTGCTCTTTTCATCAGCTGACACTACAACGAGACTGCAGAAAAGCAGAAATCCCAACACCAACATGGTAGCGTATTATTGGTGCTTTTCAAATCACTGTATCAAAAGTGTTTCATAAGACCAGTCAAAATGAGGCAGTGAGGGGAAAAACAGCATATTCTTGTTCCCAGCACCAATTCAGAACCATTTAATGATGTTCAAGTGAAAAATCTAGATATTATCTTCCCATGTGCAGAAACCTCTGCGGGTTTGACATTCCAACTGCGTGTTGTAGCATGAAAGCACATTAATATAATGTGCGAATCTCTCCGCTCACACGTGGATTTCCTTTGCTCTCGCACAAAACCAGACGCACTTAAAGCATGTCTCTCCTCTCAACTGTGTAATTTCCTTCCAGTTTAAGTCATAATAATCAAATATTAGAAATGAATCGGGTGCGTGGATGATTTGGACAGAGGTTATATATGTGGCCCTGCAGCACAGAAGCAGTGTCGCTGGGGGATATTTGTAGCAATAGCCAACAATACATTGTATGGGTCAAAATGATCCAATTTTCTTTTATGCCAAAAATCATTAGGATATTAAGTAAAGATCATGTTCCATGAAGATATTTTGTAAATGTCCTACTGTAAATATATCAAAATTTAATGTTGGATTAGTAATATGCATTGCTAAGAACTTCATTTGGACATCTTTAAAGATGATTTTCTCAATAATTAGATTTTTGCTACTTAATCATTTGCTACTCGTTAACGCGCTCCCTTTAAATAACATGACGCTGTGCCCTCTATGACGATGCTCCCATTAAGCGCTGTTGGAAGTGAATGAATTGATTTAGCATTTCGACACCTCCGTAAGGATGCATTTAACTCGACAAAGCGGTCTAATAAAGGATGTATTGATCTCGTGAATTAGCGAATTTTACTATACAAATATATTTTAAATTGGATGTTAAAATTTATATGGGAATATTACATGACACGCTGATCCTTTAACAATGCATTGGCGCAAAAAACACACACCTTTTGGACAAATGTGCCACAAAACTGCCACAAATACTGCCTAAACAAAATACTGATTGTGTGCACTTTATTTACTGTACCAATATTTTAAATTGGCCTTTGAACTTAGCTTTATTGCATGGCAAAAAAAAGTGTTACCTTGCCAAAGCGCACTGATCTAATGGCGTTGTTGCGCGCTCCAAATGCAAACTTTGCATGCAACACTCAGGCAGAGATTGACAGCACTCTGATCTAGTGGCATACAGGCCTCGTCAGATTGACAGTACTCTAGCCCAATAATGTTGGGTGATCCAGTGGGGGCGGCAGTCATATTTCAGGGTGACCGTGCCACCCTTTATCACAACCCTGCTGAAAGTGCCAGTACGTGCGCTCATTGGTGCCCCTTCAGCTGGTGGCACCCGCCTAGCTCGCCTACGCCTAGAAACGGCCCTACTCTCACACACACTCTCACACACACACACACACACACACACACACGCACACACATTCACACTCATCAACAGATGTGCTTCAGGTGTGAGTTTGTGAGGTGTCAGATGTGATCACACACACACACACTCACGCACACACTAACACACTCACATGACGGTGTGGCTGCAGCTGAACTCCTGACGGCTGCAGACTCAGACTCCTTTAGCTTCAGCTCTTTAGCGTCTGTCGTGCCGTTGGTCTGTGGAGAGCAGAAAGACACGAGCCATCAGGAGCAGCACAGATCTGCAGGACTTCAGAACATGGTCCTGCTTGCTCCTGCTGCTGAAGGGTCAGATTACACCCTGCTGTTGTTCACCCTCCTTCTTTTCCAGAACACAAAACCAGAAAGGTAAATATGTCCAGTTTGTGTTTGATTGTATAATGACAGTGAATAGTGACCTTCTCTTCAAGCTTTAAAACAAGATGCAACTTCAGTAAAGCTGAAAGTTCTCACCATTCACTGCCATTAAAAGGGTCAGGAACATTTTGTGACTGCACCAGTAAAACCACATACGGACGTGAGCAAAACACATGAAGTGGACAAGCCATCAGTCCTGAATGTGTCCTCCTGGACACTTTAATCTCCCTCATCTATCTAGACACAACATGAGGAAGTGCACTACGATAAAAGACTCAACCTTCACTGAATGACACCAAAACACACACATTACGATCAAACGTTCAGATGATGATCATTTCACTGTGAATCAGACAGTCACCCTCATCTTCTCTAGCAGCAACATTACTGTCATCAAAACATCAATAAAGCACTTGTGCAAGGGTGATTGAAACGGAGATGGTCAGAACAAGCTAGTACGGTCTAAACACCTCACAGCGGCTCTACATATAGATTAGAGGTGGGGGATTTCATGGTTATGATCTGTATCACCACACAAGTTTATTATTTGCATGCATTTATAAGTCATGTCAATTCAAACTTTCAGGTGATTTTCCTCGCACACTGTCTAAAGATGCACGTCACATAGCACAATAAAAACATACAAAATTATTTATTTACATATTTATAAACACTGTCTGAATAACTTTTGAATCTTTAAAAAGAACCAATTTATATTTAATTCATACAGTAAAGACTATGCTGTGTTTTATTTTACATTTGATTATTCGATTTCTGTATACTACTGATACTACCAAACTCAAAATTGACAGGACTCTTTATTATATTATATAAATACAACAAAACAATAATTTCCTTTGTTCTTATTGACAGTGCTCGGGAAAACCTGCTCGTTATACAAGCAGCACGTATGATGCCAGCGCAGGTCATGATTGGAAATTACTTGAGAACCTCCTGAAGAATCTTCATTTCCCGCTGCTCGAGTTCACTCACGACGTCCACGCCGTCTGTCAGACACTCGGGCAGCCCTCCTGTAACACAGAGACACACACACACAGACAGAGACACACACACACAGACAGAGACAGAAACACACACACACACACACAGACAGAGACACACATACACACACACACACACACAGACAGAGAGACACACCCAGACAGACAGACAGACAGACACAGACGCACACACACACAGAGACACGCACACACACACACACACACAGAGAGACACACACACACACACAGACACACACACACACACACACACAGAGACACAGACACACACACACACACACACACAGAGACACAGACACACACACACACACACACACAGAGACACAGACACACACACACACACACACACAGAGACACAGACACACACACACACACACACACAGAGACACAGACACACACACACACACACACACAGAGACACAGACACACACACACACACACACACAGAGACACAGACACACACACACACACACACACAGAGACACACACACACACACACACACACACAGACACAGAGAGAGAGATAGTGTAAGACAGCCACAGCTCTGCAGACCCACACATTCTGCTTCACTCACAATAAAATCTATGTGAAGGTGCAGGTCAGCATTAATGAAACATTTTAATAATAATAGTAATAATTAATAGTAATGATTGAATTTACAAACAAATTAGACACTGACTGACAGATTCTTGTGGAAGCCGTGGGATAAAAAATAATTTTTTTATTTCACAACTCAAAATTTTGAGACAAATTCAGAATCCTGACTTTTTTCTTGCAATTCTGAGTTTACATCTCGCAATTCTGGCTCAGAATTCAAGTCAAAATATCAGAATTTAAACAAAAAAGGCTATTTATTTATTTATTTTATCCCATGGCAGAACAGGCTTCCATATTTACTCCATCATCTCCTGAAAAATGGGAGCTGGTTTTATGTGAGAGCCATGTCAAATATAATACATGTAATGAAGTAATCACACGTGCAACTCTAGACGTGTTGAGTACCGTTTCTCTCTTTGATGACATGCAGAGCCTGCAGCTGAAGCTCCATGTTCTTCTGGACCATCAGAGAGCGAAACATCTGAAAATCATCTGTAGCGACAACTGGCTGGAAAACAGCCTGATCGAACAAGAAAACACAGTCAGCCATCGCATCACATGACCCTTACACGCAGAACCAAACCCACACACACACACACATGGATGGAGGAAAAGCATTAGGATCTCATTGTCAGTACAGGGTGCATTATTATTACAGTCAGCTAAACTCTGACAGAGAGATCCAGTGATCAGATGACAACCGTGTGAAGCTCCCACTGAAAATCAACCGTATCAATAACATTGTTTCTCGTCACAACACAAGAATCAATATAAACTACAAATAAAACGCTCTATTTGAGCTGAAAAGTAAGAGAATGTAAGAGGAATAATTGCAATCGAGACGTGTTTGAAATGAAGCATGTTTAACGCTCAACAGAGGAAAGACCAATTGAAACATCATTAAATAGGTTCATTCTCAGTTTATCATTTTGGATGGAAGGTGTAACAGTAAAGAGGAAAGTGGTGAAATAACGCAGTGCAAAGTGAATGTGACTAAAAACATTGATGTGGATCGACTGTCTTAAAGCAAAAGTGTGGATGCTGGTTGAACACTTCAAGCAAATCACTTTTTTTTACTGAAGTAAATAATTCAGTAAAAAACTAGTAGCTGCAGCATCCCTGTATGTGTGATCCACAGAGCTCAGATCCTACGTTTGTCGCTGGCTGTGTGAACACAGTAACTCTTGTTTACTGTGAATATCTGCATTTGGCATGACAGGGCCTCAGCGCTGCGTCTTCAGCCGATCAGGGCCGGTAGTTTCCAGGTCAATCTCACAGGTCAACCTCACTAACCCAGTTAACTAATCTCCGTCGACTGCCTTAACCTGCATGTGTCACAGCGACTCAAGCTTCTTCTCAGTCCAGAAGCTGCAGGATCAGGCCGGGACGCTTCCAAACCAAACACCACAACTGAAGTATTGTGTGCAGCTGAACACGTCCTGAACAGAACCCTAAACCAATAGTATGATCCTGCACAACCGGAGACTGCAGCTTCACGACCGCATTTCTAGGACAGCACCATCTAGCCAGCTCTATTCCAACAGAGGAGACCTGATTTAAACAGATGCAAAGACTAGATCCATGCAAACTATTCTTTTTTCATCTTTCCATCTTATTTTTAATGCAAGAGCTGGCTTGAACTTGAGTGTTTGAGGGGGTGTCAGCCATCTCCATTTAGCCTATTTAGCTGTGCAAAACAGTTGCTGCTGGATGTTGTAAACTGGTATTTATTTTACATTTATTAATGCACTTACACACACTAACATGTAGCGCAATTGTTTCACCATTTACTGCACTTTGTAATGCGTGTCACACATCAGACGTGAAGCGCTGCGGCAAAAGCCTGGAGTACACTAACGCCAATTTACAGTCTGGAGAAGTCGACGCTAGTTGCCAAAGCCAGTCAGAGCCAGTCTGCAGATTTGAGTCGACAGATTCCATAGAAATTCACATAGTGTATGATTCCACCCAGTCAAAGGAGATCAAACGTTTGATATTTTCAGCCGATTTTAGAACACATAGGGCGAATTCCAAACAGCTTTTTTGCACTTTGGGAAGGGGACGTTCCAAACGAAGAGGTCCGTTAGCGAAGGGAGCATGCGATGGTCACTTCACGGATGTGATTTCCATTAGTGATCATGTGATCTTCGGTTAGGAGATCTTGCGATGCTTTTTAAAGCAAAGTTGGGGTTGATTTCGAGTTCACATACAAACGTAAATAGAATAGGCTAATTAAATTTGTCTATTTTAATGCAAGACAAAATATTTTTCGTCAGTGATAGAAATATGATTCAAGACGGCAGTGTAAGCAAGTTCAGTTTGAAAAAGTTTAATAGTAAATAAGACACAATTAGACAATATTTGAATAAAATAATAATGATAAGAAGAAATATTTAGGCTATTTGCAACAACTGGCGGAGTGCTGAATGCTGAAGAAGGTAACATTCTTCTTCAACAACGCTTCTATGAGACAGTAATGCCCTGCACCCTTCATAGAACACACTTCAAGGGCTCTGCCCTTCGGAGGGAGTAGGGCATAGGGATGCTCACTTCTGTTTGGAATTCGCCCATATTGTTTTCATTTGTCATGCATCTCCTAGCAACAAGCAGCAGGGGCCCGTTCTTCGTACGCGGCTGACTCCGTTAGCTGGATGTGATTGTTGATGGTTTGGCCTGATCTCGGATTGTTTGGTTCCTCGAAGCTGATCCCGGAGTTGCTGTCATAGCAACAGCTCCGTAAACTTAAACCTGCTCTGGAGCAGCTTATTTCACCTCAACAGAACTAGATCGCGTCTTTTTAAGCAGAACTGATCCTTAAAATCTGTCCCAGACTTTATTACAAGACTATCCTACTGATGCAGGGACAGTCATTACAATAATAATCATTTACAATTAATATATGAATGCTGTGTAGACTATAATACCATAGACACGGTCAGCTTTCCTCACTGAAATAAATATAAATAATAAATATTTCAAGAGGGTTACCAACGGGTGTGTTTAGGGTTAGGAGTTGGCCAGGACAATAATAAAAGTGTATAGGCTACAATTAAACAACTACATATTTCCTTAAAAAAATAATCATATACAGAACTGAATAGCAAGTGCTATCAAATAGTATGAGCCGCTAATACACGCATATCCCTGATAGCACACGTCTATTTGACGTCTGCATTTACATCTGGAAGATGCATTTTTTAGAGTGTTTGCTCATCTGCATTACCTCTATAGGATGCTTTCTGTCAGATGTCAAAAAGACGTTTATTAGATGTCTTTAAGATGTTCATGAATGCATGTAAAACTGACGTCTGTCAGATGCTTGTACACAGCAGATGCTTTCCGGTTTAAGCGATCTTTAAAAACATCTTGCAGACGTATGTGTGCTATCTGGGTACAAAACATAATAATAAAATGAACTATAGGGTCGAAGAAATGCGTTTCTGAAACGGCAGCCTCCAGGAAAACTCTTCTCCCCTGAACACAGAGCAAAGCCCAGCGCAAGCTCCATCAGATCAGCACAATAAACAATGGAAGAGCGCGTCTGAACCCCGCTACAGCGCTCAGTGATCAGTCCAGCGCACAGGGCTGTGGTTGCACGAGACGCTACCCTCGGCCTCTTACCTGTAGAGTCTTAGTCTTGCTGAAAGAGGAGCAGGCGTGCAGAAACTGCTGCTCACTGATGCCCACCTCCTGCATGTGGTTCTGCAGCAGCCGCTCCACCTCCAATCAATCACAACAGATCAGATCAGATCAGAACAGTGCACTCATTCACTCACTCACCAGAAGCCATTCAGAGCGGCTCTCACCAGCTGCTTGTACTGCTGATGGATGTCCGTGTACGTCAGCTTATTCTCATCCTCATCATCAAACACTGAAACCACACCAAACACACCAACACATCAACAATATTACGGCAAGCCGCTTTAGCTTACAATATTCCCAGTGTTACTCGTAGTAGTTGCATGCTTAAAATCCAAATAGAGAGCTCTCTAATCACATTTTTTTACTAGTAACTAAAAGCTCTCCGATTTAATTCTTACTAGTAAAAATGCAATGTTTATCATTAAAAAACACATTAAAGATATGTTTAATTGCAGAGCTCTGTAATTGAATTAGAGAGCTCTCTAAATGGCATTCTTACCAGTAAAAATGCAATTACTAATATTTTAAGATAAAACCGGCTTGCCATACAATAGGCATGCGTAAAGAACAGCTCATCTAGAAGCGAAAATGCGCACGCATCTGCGGCGTTCTGCGCGTAATACCTGAGCATTTGTTCTCCGTGAAGTCTGCCAGCGGGATGAGCCAGTCTGGGCTGCTCAGGTATCCCGCGATGCTCTCCAGCACCCACTCGCTGTCATCGGCCATGATCACTCACATCGCCGCGCGCGTTACTCCGCGCCTGTGGAGAGAACTGCGTTACAAACACAGGCGAGCGCACGAGCCGCGGCCACCCCGGATGTGTGCAACATAATCTGCAGCCCTAGCAACCGGTGCGTCACTGCGGCCGTCACTTCTGCTTCTTCAGCCGGGACGCGAGCCCCAGTGCTCGGCGAAGCACCGCCACCTCCTGCGCCGGAGCGAGGCGAGGGCCCCGGGCCCAGTGCGGCCAACTAATGCTCAGGGGAAGCTGCTAAAGGAAGGTCGATTTGTTGCTAAATGACGTTGTGACGCAAAAAATGTCACTACATCAAATCTCAGCAAAAAATACATTTGATATGTTATTTAGATTATAAATACATTATATCATTTCAAAATATAAATAACTGTATTTTTGAATACAACATTGAATTATTGAACACTTACACATTTTTTAAACCATTACAATTATTTATTTTTTTATGAGCTAATAAACAAATACAACTAAACATTCTGAACAATTATAGTTTTAAGCAGTGTATTAGTAGTTCGTTATCATGCTACACTCTAAGAAGGGTCTGTACAAATAGGGCACAGTCTACTATGTTAAGGGGTTTTACTTGCATACACCCCGTTGTATGTGGTGTTTTCGGGTTGCAGGGTTACAACAGATAATAGATAACACATAATCTCCTGAAAAATTACTAGTACCTTTTCCATTTTTCTCAAGGTTTTTCTTACTACTAGTAAAAATGCAATGTTTATCATTAAAAAACACATTAAAGATATGTTTAATTGCAGAGCTCTGTAATTGAATTAGAGAGCTCTCTAAATGGCATTCTTACCAGTAAAAATGCAATTACTAATATTTTAAGATAAAACCGGCTTGCCATACAATAGGCATGCGTAAAGAACAGCTCATCTAGAAGCGAAAATGCGCACGCATCTGCGGCGTTCTGCGCGTAATACCTGAGCATTTGTTCTCCGTGAAGTCTGCCAGCGGGATGAGCCAGTCTGGGCTGCTCAGGTATCCCGCGATGCTCTCCAGCACCCACTCGCTGTCATCGGCCATGATCACTCACATCGCCGCGCGCGTTACTCCGCGCCTGTGGAGAGAACTGCGTTACAAACACAGGCGAGCGCACGAGCCGCGGCCACCCCGGATGTGTGCAACATAATCTGCAGCCCTAGCAACCGGTGCGTCACTGCGGCCGTCACTTCTGCTTCTTCAGCCGGGACGCGAGCCCCAGTGCTCGGCGAAGCACCGCCACCTCCTGCGCCGGAGCGAGGCGAGGGCCCCGGGCCCAGTGCGGCCAACTAATGCTCAGGGGAAGCTGCTAAAGGAAGGTCGATTTGTTGCTAAATGACGTTGTGACGCAAAAAATGTCACTACATCAAATCTCAGCAAAAAATACATTTGATATGTTATTTAGATTATAAATACATTATATCATTTCAAAATATAAATAACTGTATTTTTGAATACAACATTGAATTATTGAACACTTACACATTTTTTAAACCATTACAATTATTTATTTTTTTATGAGCTAATAAACAAATACAACTAAACATTCTGAACAGTTATAGTTTTAAGCAGTGTATTAGTAGTTCGTTATCATGCTACACTCTAAGAAGAGTCTGTACAAATAGGGCACAGTCTACTATGTTAAGGGGTTTTACTTGCATACACCCCGTTGTATTTGCTGTTTTCGGGTTGCAGGGTTACAACAGATAATAGATAACACATAATCTCCTGAAAAATTACTAGTACCTTTTCCATTTTTCTCAAGGTTTTTCTTACAGTGTACTAACTGATCAACAATCGCAGGTACAAGCTAAGGTGTATCATAAATGAACAATTATTCATTAAACTGAACAACTGCAAATAGCAGCTAACTTAATTCACGTGGTGTGTGTGCTGCTAGGCATCTTTAGTTTCCTCATTCTGTGTAATTTAGATGGAAATTGTGTGCCTTTTTATCGTTTGAGTCACTTATCAAAAGTTGCTAAAAATGGCCAAATACATTTTAAAAATAGCTACATTTGTTGCGAGGTGCTTTTGGAAGAAAAAGTTGCTAGGGTGGTGTGAAAAGCTGCTACATTTAGTAACAAAATTGCTAAGTTGGCAACACTGCCCGGCCCGTTCTTCTTCTTCTTTTGTGTTTAGTGGCGGTTGTGCATTTCCGTCGCCTACTGGGATGGAGTGTGAGGTCTCAATGAACGAAAATATTATATACTATAAAAATTTTTTTTTATTAATTCTTCTAATCAAATCTGTATCTTTCACATATTTTAGAAGAAAATCATAAACCCTTAACTATTTCTGTGCATTCTGAAGTATATTCTTAACTGAAATGTCGTTGATTTCCATATCCTCCTGACTACCAGCTATGGACTTTTGTCCTCTGTAGGGGACAGCTGCTAAGTTGGCAACACTGCCCGGCCCGTTCTTCTTCTTCTTTTGTGTTTAGTGGCGGTTGTGCATTTCCGTCGCCTACTGGGATGGAGTGTGAGGTCTCAATGAACGAAAATATTATATACTATAAAATTTTTTTTTATTAATTCTTCTAATCAAATCTGTATCTTTCACATATTTTAGAAGAAAATCATAAACCCTTAACTATTTCTGTGCATTCTGAAGTATATTCTTAACTGAAATGTCGTTGATTTCCATATCCTCCTGACTACCAGCTATGGACTTTTGTCCTCTGTAGGGGACAGTATATTTTAGTGAATTTCTCTGAGACGGTACATGTCACAGTTGTAAGTCTGGAGTCCTGTACAGAGCACATTCAGGGCTTTTCAGACACACCAAATGATTGGATGTTTCACCGCGAGCGCTCCTTCTCCTTGCTCTTTAAAAACGGCTGACATTCATTTAGTGATCAAATGTAACACCCTTATGGAAATATGATATTATCATTTAAATCTGACTCATTTTTAAATTGTTTGTCATAAATCAACACCTCAGGAAAATGTTATGGGGTTTCAAATCAAAATATGCCCTTCTGTTATGAAACCGGACGTTGATTTCATGCATGTCCACTGTAGAGGACACCAGGACTAAAAGCATGTTTATTACACATTTTGGGAGACACAACAAATGAATAGAGAAAAACCTATGTATCAATATTCCTATTAAATATGAGATATTATTATGAAAATCTTACTAATTGTTACTCCCATTATTGCACTTATTTGTTCATTCTATGTTGCCCCCATTAATATGCAAATTAGATACAGTTTATAATGGAAAAACGTGTTTATGGCCATTTTACACACATTTTGCATAAAGAATAATAAAAAATTAAAAAAGTCTTTCATAACATAGTTGAGAATCGTCTTTATATAAAGTTTGGTATAAAAAAATGAAAATTGATTTGTGATTAAAACAAAAATCCCACAGTTTTTGCCTTTTCATGTTTATTCATGTCTTTTTATTTCTTAAAAAACAGGACTTTGTAAAGTCCCGATGTTCTCTAGAGAGGACAAGGCATAACATATGAATGAAATATCATTTTTCAAAAATTTTAATTTTCACATTTTTTCTTATGCTCTAAACAATGCAATGAACATGACAAAATACTAAATTCACAAAACAGTTTTTTCCTGGTAGTCAGGAGGATATCAAGCTGCTTTCTTTGTCTAGTATAGGCCTCACAATGTAAGAGCATTGTAAGAGCATTATTCCACAGTAACTGCAGCTATCTGACTCACTTTCTCCTATTATATGCAATGAATAATTAAGATTAGCGTGTCCTATACGGATCCTGGTTATAACAGTATCTTCTGTTTCCATATACCTTTCTTTCAATCCCCACTTTCTGTTGAATGCTAAATAAGTGTCTCACTTTTGACTCTTTGTTCCATACGTCTTGCCACATACTTCCAACTGCTGTTTTAATAATACCTTTCACTTCTGTTTTACTTCATTTCTATGTCAGTCTCTTGTTTCTGGCCAGCTTATCCACCTCCTCATTCCCTTCTATGGGCAGGTATCCATAAAAACTCCACTCTTACTCGCTTTTGGAAGAAAAAGTTGCTAGGGTGGTGTGAAAAGCTGCTACATTTAGTAACAAAATTGCTAAGTTGGCAACACTGCCCGGCCCGTTCTTCTTCTTCTTTTGTGTTTAGTGGCGGTTGTGCATTTCCGTCGCCTACTGGGATGGAGTGTGAGGTCTCAATGAACGAAAATATTATATACTATAAAATTTTTTTTTATTAATTCTTCTAATCAAATCTGTATCTTTCACATATTTTAGAAGAAAATCATAAACCCTTAACTATTTCTGTGCATTCTGAAGTATATTCTTAACTGAAATGTCGTTGATTTCCATATCCTCCTGACTACCAGCTATGGACTTTTGTCCTCTGTAGGGGACAGCATATTTTAGTGAATTTCTCTGAGACGGTACATGCCACAGTTGTAAGTCTGGAGTCCTGTACAGAGCACATTCAGGGCTTTTCAGACACACCAAATGATTGGATGTTTCACCGCGAGCGCTCCTTCTCCTTGCTCTTTAACAACGGCTGACATTCATTTAGTGATCAAATGTAACACCCTTATGGAAATATGATATTATCATTTAAATCTGACTCATTTTTAAATTGTTTGTCATAAATCAACACCTCAGGAAAATGTTATGGGGTTTCAAATCAAAATATGCCCTTCTGTTATGAAACCGGACGTTGATTTCATGCATGTCCACTGTAGAGGACACCAGGACTAAAAGCATGTTTATTACACATTTTGGGAGACACAACAAATGAATAGAGAAAAACCTATGTATCAATATTCCTATTAAATATGAGATATTATTATGAAAATCTTACTAATTGTTACTCCCATTATTGCACTTATTTGTTCATTCTATGTTGCCCCCATTAATATGCAAATTAGATACAGTTTATAATGGAAAAACGTGTTTATGGCCATTTTACACACATTTTGCATAAAGAATAATAAAAAATTAAAAAAGTCTTTCATAACATAGTTGAGAATCGTCTTTATATAAAGTTTGGTATAAAAAAATGAAAATTGATTTGTGATTAAAACAAAAATCCCACAGTTTTTGCCTTTTCATGTTTATTCATGTCTTTTTATTTCTTAAAAAACAGGACTTTGTAAAGTCCCGATGTTCTCTAGAGAGGACAAGGCATAACATATGAATGAAATATCATTTTTCAAAAATTTTAATTTTCACATTTTTTCTTATGCTCTAAACAATGCAATGAACATGACAAAATACTAAATTCACAAAACAGTTTTTTCCTGGTAGTCAGGAGGATATCAAGCTGCTTTCTTTGTCTAGTATAGGCCTCACAATGTAAGAGCATTGTAAGAGCATTATTCCACAGTAACTGCAGCTATCTGACTCACTTTCTCCTATTATATGCAATGAATAATTAAGATTAGCGTGTCCTATACGGATCCTGGTTATAACAGTATCTTCTGTTTCCATATACCTTTCTTTCAATCCCCACTTTCTGTTGAATGCTAAATAAGTGTCTCACTTTTGACTCTTTGTTCCATACGTCTTGCCACATACTTCCAACTGCTGTTTTAATAATACCTTTCACTTCTGTTTTACTTCATTTCTATGTCAGTCTCTTGTTTCTGGCCAGCTTATCCACCTCCTCATTCCCTTCTATGGGCAGGTATCCATAAAAACTCCACTCTTACTCCCGTTTGGTTTATTCTATATAAATTCTGTCAAATGTCATCAAATTTGATTTCCCACTATTTAAATGTTCAATACTGAATATGAATCTGAACAAACTGCTACACTTATATTGATTTCTTCCCCCCACTGCAAAGCCATTAGAATTGCCATCACTTCTGTTGTGAATACAGATACATCATTAGATAACCTCTTAACTGTGCTATATTTCAAATAGGGAATATATATATATATATATATATATACGTATATATATATATATGACTGCTGCTGTATACCCAGAATCTGGATGTTCTGACCCATCCGTATACATTTGAATAATGTTAAAATTATTTTTGCTTCAAATATTGATCCACTACTATTTCTTTAGGCATACACCTTTCCTTTTCATTCTCAATCTCTCTTGAGATTGAATACCACTTATTTATTTAACATAGATACTGATGCCAAACCAGGGGCGTGGCCATCATTTCAGAAGTGAGGGGGACCTAAACATTCTGAACAATTATAGTTTTAAGCAGTGAATTAGTAGTTCGTTATCATGCTACACTCTAAGAAGA